TTTATAAAATCTTGTGTGAGTCAGTCCAACAGTTAGACGGGTTGATCTGTAAACAAGTTGAGTGATGGATTTGAAAGAAACTATTTGACAAACAAAGCCATGTGAATCAGTAACAATGTTATCAAAACCGGACCGGACCGACCGGTTCGACCGGTTGGACCGGGAACCGGACCTAGTACCGGTCCGGTTTGAGTGTTTAAACCGCTGGGAACAAGAACCGATTTCGAACCGGTTCAAAACCGGTAAAACCGGTGAACGGGTACCGGTTCGACTGGTCGAACCGGTTCTGAAATTTGAAAAAAAAAATTTAATGAAATAAAAAAAAAAAAATCAAACAAAAGGAAAAAAAGTGAGAGTATTTTGATGTTTAATGAATTGTAATGCTGGATTGGATATATTTTGATTTGATGACTTTGTAGTTTGTATTTGTAATTTGGATTGTCTTGCTTTAGATAATAGATATTGAATTATTAATCTATTGTTTTAGTGAACTTAATTTAGTACTAGTACAGAGCCCGTGCGATGCACGGGGTGCACAACAATTTTAAGGCTATTTATCCAGGCTTATAATTATATACATGAATAAAGAAAAATGTACGGGATATATATAGTACGTGACCCGTGCGAAGCACGAGATATATTTATTTGGAAAATATTATATTATAAGATGCAATATTAAATAAAAGTTTATAATACGCAAGAAACTGTACAATGTTCAATTAAAGTTTTATAATATTCAAGTGGAGTCTTAAAGTCTCTTGTACATTAAGACTACTGACAAAATAATATTTTAATCAATGGGTTTCCTTTCCTTGTAGCCAAATTGTGAATGTGATTTGAGGAGTACAACAAATCGATATATAACTGACTTGCATTTTTCATTGTAGTTTTTTTTTCTTTTTTTTTAATAATGAATTTAAAGATATTCTAAAATATAGAAAAATTAATTTTTTTATTACAATTAGGAATTTTACTAAATATAAACTCTCAATCTATGGTGTTAATCAACGTTTAAGTCTAAAAAATTAAGAATTTTTACCTCTTTTAATCAACGTTTAAGTCTAAAAAACATTAGAGTTATTATAAGTTTTTCTACATCTTTTAAAACATTAAATATGAGCATGTTAGGGCTAGTTTGTAAAATAATTAACATTTATCTCACTAAAAACATTTATACTAATAAAAATTTAATTTTAGCATATAAATTTATCCCTTGATATAAGAGAAAGTAACAGTTTTACTTATTGTTGTTCACCATATAATATTTAAGTATTATTTTATTATATAATAAAAAAGGAATATTGTTAAATAGTGTAGTAGAATTGTTATAAACTATATGATTTTTTTTTTACAATATAGATTTAATATATTTTTTATGATTTGATAATATAAAAAAATATATACTTAACTTTGTCAAATAAAACAAATAAATACTTTAGTAAGTATTTAATGTATATACTAAATAGGAATATATTTAATATAAGTATAGATTTTTTATGGTAAACTATACTTAAAATATTGATTTATCAACTCTTATTTAGAAAAATGTCATTATATGCTATAAAATTAATATAAAATTAATGATAAATATATATATATATATATATATATATACATATAATTATATATTATACATATAAAATAAATAAATAAATTGTATATTAGTTAAATCGGTTCGACCGGTTCGACCACTGGTCCGACCAGTGAACCATTGAACCAGTAGCTTCACCGGTTCAATGACCGGCCGGTTTTGATAACATTGATCAGTAATCTTCATAGAAGTCATAACTAAATTAAACAAATAATTACTCAGTAACAGGCTAGATATATCTAGACATGCAGGTTTGGATTTATATTAGATCTTTTATGCAACATATATAATTGCTACTGAGTACTGATTATGTTAGTTCCAGTATGCGGTCACCAAAAGCTGTTAAATATTTGTTTTCTCTTAAAATTGGAGGAACTGAAATCAAATGATTGATGATATGTAAAACGGAAATAGAATTGACATGCAAAATGAATTTTGATCAGATACAACGTTCAAGTTTTTTCTAAAACTTGGATCAGATACAACTTTCTAGGTCATCATTATTGGCATGGCACATTAACAATTCCAGTACAAATATAATCGATTTTCTTGATTTTTAAATATTTTTTTCCTGCATACCTACATAACATTTCAAATTCTTCCCCAATTTGAAATAATGAATCGAGATGATTGCAGTTGTAGGTTCTGTATTCATCGAGCTTTTCTAAAGTCGAAAGTAGGTACCTCAGAGTCAAAGCCATGAGCCAGCTGGTAACTCAAACGAGCGAATATATTCCGGTATGGATCATTCTCTCTCTTCTCCTTCAAATAAGCAAGACATTTTTCAACCTCAGACTTCACTTGTAAATACAACTCATGACCTTTTTCTCTGCATTTCAATTCCTCTTCCCTCCCTAAGAAAAAATAAATAAAAGAAACAAAAATATAATATATGTCTGCATTTTCCCCTTCCATTAAAATTTAAATATATATGCAAGAATCATATTAATATCATACCTTGTGTTTCTATTGGCTTCCCGAATAAGTAATAAAATCGGCCCGGGACTTTAGGCATAATAATTGGAAGGTGAACATCTTGATTCGCAACCTCTCCCGCAGCTTCACTCCTGTGATGATCGCGCAAAATCAGACGTACATTTTTTATTTCAGTGTTCAATACATAATAGTTATTTATAAATCAATAATAGTTGAAAAATTTGATATATAAATTATAATACCTCAACTTGACTGCCTCGTCTGTTAGATCTTCAATCTCATTCTTGAAATACGGAATCCTCATAAGGTCATCATAGTCGAGAAGTAACTAACGAAAGGA